CAACAGACTTGGGGAATCATTATTCTACAGCCCAGGAAGTTGCTTGTCCTCAGGAAGGATGAAAAAGCTAAAGATAGCAAATTGCCACCATGCCCTAAGGATTACCAGTGTCCTTGTATCTAATGCAATTTTAAAGTTTAGCTGCTGCTGCCTTCCAAAAGCTGAACAGAGCGATTTTATTTATTTATTATTTTATTTATTTATTTTTATCTTGTCAACTAACCCCCTCTAGTGCTGAACAGGCTGCATTTGACCTGCAGGCTGCTCACAGCTTCCAAGCTGGACTAGCTTCTTTCTTCTGTCTCCTGCTCTCCAAGAGCTACCCACCAGTCTTTCACCTCTTCTCAAAAGAACAACTGACCAGGTGAAAAAGAAAAAAGAAAAACCCTCCGACCTCTTTTCTGCCTTGCTTCTCTTGCTTCTCTTGCTTCTTTCCCTCCACCCCTCCCCAAACCTTTAAAGATCCAGTGCAAATGTAATTTCTCCTCCCACCCTTCTTTTGGCAGGGAAGAAAAGAGAAACGCGAATCGGGGATTTTCTGCAGCAAACAGTGGCTGCTGCTTCCAAGGGTTGCCGGCTCAGAAAACCTCAGCTGCCCTCCTGCCGCTTCGGACGCCAGGTAGCATATTGATCCTGCTCCTCTGGAGTGCCTCCGAAGGGCTGCTTGGCTTCACAATACACTGGCACGCACAGTCCACCAGAAAAGAAAAGGCGGGGAGGAAGGACTCGTTCAGTCCCAAGCAAAAGCCGATGGGAAAAAAACGGAGATGTCAGTAGGCGGGAGGAAGGCAAGCAGCCCAACTGAGTCTGATTTGCGAGTGCTTGGCGTCAAGGAGCCTCCGTCCCAGCCAAGGGGAGTCCGTCGCGGCGGCTGGGAAAGCCTGCTTGGCAAGTTTTCTTGACGGCTCAGGAGAAGCGGGGAGCTGTCCAGCGTTTCAGCACCTTCTAGTCAGCGGCTGGCGCAGCTTTCGTGGTGGGCGGAAAAAAATCCAACCTTCCCGGCTCGGGGCGGAAATTATTCCTTGTCCCGGCTCTGTCCCTTATGGTCAAGCGCGGGGATGGGCAATCAACCAAAGGGGTGGAGAGGTTGCTCCCCAGGCGGTGGCTGCGGTCGTTCGGGGGGTCGTCAGTGAAACGATTGCTGCTGATGATGAGAAGCTGAAAAGGAAGCAAAACGGAAGAAGGCAGCCAGGTGGGCGACACCAGTCTGAGTATCCTTCTTCCCCCCCACACACACACACGCACTCACACACACACACACACAAACACACACACACACGGGCACGGACACTGCATCCGAACGAGGAAAGTTTTCCGGCTAAACTGTTTGCCTTTCAAGTCTTACAGGCTCAACGATGTCCTTTGCCCTCCAGGTACTGTTTTAGAGGGGAAGGAAGCTCTTCTCAGGGCAAATTCTTTCCACCCCTACACCCCTCCCCCCCCCAATGCTATTTCTTCAGCTTTGGCAACAACTGTGAACCTGATTCTTCCTTCCCTCAGAGCTTCCACACTGGACAGGCAAAGAACCTGACGCCCTCAGTCCCGGTGTGGGACCAGGAGAAAGGTCTGAGGTCCCAGCCATGGATAGCAGTGAAATGAGGGGCTGCCTTTGGAAATTTAACCTGTTCTTTCCTTTGGTGCTGCTGCTGGTCTGCCTGGGAGGCTGCAGTCGTGTTTCCAGCAACCAAGGTAAAAGAGAGAGAGGAAGAAACGGAGAGGGGATTGTTGGGAGTGGGAGGGCTAATGGCTGGATTAGTAAAGAATATTATTTAATGCACAAAAAAAGCTTCTGTAAGTCTGCAAAGTAGCTGCTGGGGAAGACAATTCCCATAGGCATGAAAGGATCATTTGTTCTTTTCATGGGTTAACGGAATGGTCGCTCTGTCTCATCTGGCAGTGTCAATTGATTTGTCCCACTTAAGTGACAGATGGAGGGGAAAACATTCTCATGCATGGTAGAAAGAAAGTTAAATTTCTGCATTAATTCAAAGCTTCCTCAGGCCCAGCCCAAAGCAATGATCTATGCCACTGATTAAACTCAATGAAGCTTTGAAAGAAATGTCCTCTCCATTTTAGCTTACCTAAATATTCTTGGTTTTCTCAGATAAGCCCTGGTAAACAAAGCAAGAATATAGACTTTGAGTTTACACTTCTGGATCAAAGCATGTGTTTCTTTTTGCACCTAGTTGTCATAGATGAATGAATAGAGTTTTAAAACTTAAAATAAGGGGGGAAATGTGCTTTAAGTAGGATAATCTGAATGTAACCTGAATGACAGTTCCTATACTCATTTTTTTCCTTAATCATGAAATCAAGGAAAACTATTTTTCATTGGATTGTTTTATTAAGCTTATTTTGACTTTTGTGTCAAAAGGGCCTGCCTCCAGAAGTTGCAGGTTCTCCATCACTTGAGGTTTTTAAGAAGAAATTGGACAACCATTTGTCTGAAATAGTATAGGGTCTCCTGCTTGAGCAGAGGGTTGGACTAGAATACCTCCAAGGTCCCTTCCAAATCTGTTGTTCTGTTTTGTTTGAGGTAATTGTATAGTTTTATTAAGGAAGGATTGAGGGCAATAGAAGAAGGGGACGACAGAGAATGAGATTGCTGGATGGAGTCACTGAAGCAGTAGACATGAGCTTAAATGGACTCCAGAAGATGGTAGAGGACAGGCAGGCCTGGAGGAACATTGTCCATGGGGTCGCGATGGGTCGGACACGACTTTGCAATTAATAACCACAACAACAATTGTTGTCTATGTAGAAACATGTAGAAACATTTATAGGGCTTCTGAGGCCTTCCTAGAGTCTGAAGCTCTAAAGCCCCTGAGCCAGAATTTTGGCCTTAGCTTTCTATAGCAAAACTGTCACAGATGTAATCATTTGAAAATAATAATATAAATATATAGAGTACTATTTAAATAACAGTATATAAAAATGCAAGGTTTTCTTTCTTCTTTGTGTTCACATTACATCTGCAAAGAGAAATTAAGGCTCTATAGAGATCATGTTTTATGATCCAATAGTCTATCTAAAACACCTCTGGGTCTCCAAATCTGTTCAGATGAAAGCTTAAAGGATCATCTCTGCTGGCTGAGTACAATAGAACAGCACTTGGGAGATCTGGGCAAATCAAAAGCTTATCTTTTGCTTTACCTGCATAATCATTTTAATAAGTAGTGTCCTTGGACTCATTCTTGACCCTGCTTTTCTTCTTTGGGGAATATCATGGTAACTAATCTTGTTACTACTTAATGATCTGTGGACACTTATGCTGACAGGAAAACCACAGAATGTCAACAAACGAACTATTATTGATTTGTTCAAGTGCAAAATTCTATTCCTGTAGGAAATTAAATATGTGTACATTCATATATGTGTCTAATGTTCAAAATAATATGCAGTCGTGTATTAGTAAAACCTTTTTACTTGGCTATGAATGAGAGTGCTTAAGCAGACAAACAGCTAATATAAAAGAAATTATCAATCTCTAATCCTGCAATTAAAGCTGAAGGCAGTTTATTTTTTTTAATTGAAAGCATTATTTATAGATTTTGTAATTTATTAGCCAAAATTATTCTGGACAAAAGATCAGATTTTCATACTATGGAAGAGTTTAATACATTTTTGGCATCAGATGTTCCTTTTACTAGAAATAGATTGTCCTTATAAATTAATTCAATCTTCACACTGAAAATCTAGTTTACAAAGTGTAGTGACTAGTGCCACCTTTGAGTCCTTGTGTTCCAAACAAAAAACACTGATTCAATTTATCTGTATTTTACTATCCATGTATGATTCCCATGTTGTTATGCTTAGCTTAATTACAGAGAGGCACAATTATTCACTAGCAACTGCGTGATCTGCAGAGTTCTTGCTTTAAATGCATGACATCTCATAAGCTTTTCAAGCAATTCCTCTACTACACCTATGGGTGTGAGTATGTGTTTCATTTGTGTTTATATATAGTGAGAAGAGATAATGATATGGTGGAATTTATATTTTATGTGCAATTGAAAATGATAGTACAATAAAAATGGAGAGACAGAAAGAGGGAAACAGAGAGAGAGATGAATAAATTCTATTATTTTGAGTGTCTTTCCATTTTAGGGTTTTGAGGATGACATCTTTTAGTTAAGCTAAATTTTTATACCATTTGTCTTCATACTAGATGCAAGAGATATATACACACACATATATATGCACATAGTAAATACATACCTGTGTATGTCCTAGGTGATGTGTTTTTCCAACTTCAGTTTTAGTTCCTTCATATTTATGCTTACCAACATATTCAGCATAAAACTATCTAATCAGAATTAATTTTGTATGCATTTACATAAGTACATAAATAAAAATATAAGATTTCGTTCCAGATGTCAGATAGAATTTCATAAGTAGTTTAATTGTCTTAACTTCTTTCTTTGTCTCATTGCTAAGAAGCACAACAAAAAGCATTTTCAGAAATAATACAGAAATGTAACTGTAAAATTATTAGTAAGCAGATTTTTTTGAATGCTAAGATCTGCAGCCATCTATGTTGTCTTCAAAAATAGTCTTAGCATTTTCTTACTCTATAGAGTTATCAACAATTGCAATTAAAATAAAATGACACCCATAAACTGCAAGCAATATGCCATAGCATCATATAAAAATATATTGATATCTTGATTAAATTGTCTTAAACAAATTCATTCTACATTGTAAAAGACCTCATATGGCTAATTTTAACTATCAGATCTATAGAGCTTTCTCCTAAAATTCCAAAGCACTTGAGATACTTTATTGCTAGGCTTCATCTTAGGCTACTAGAGGAAAATGGTTACCATTTCCCTTTATCTTCACCCAATATTGTTTCGCTAATAGCTATGTACAGTAAAACGAATTGTGTGGTTGTTTTTATATAAACAATGACCATTTTTCATGGTCCAGTTTTCATGATATTGTTCTGTCTGCTGACTCTTTTGCATTCAGAAGAACCATTCAGGCATTACAAATCTAGCATGCTCGTGACAAGAGAAGTTCAGGTGACTCACTATTATCCAGGTAAGTATTCAATGGTATCGGCTCCTCCAAAGGCATTCACCATTGAGCCATGTTAATTACCCCATGAGTCAGGACCATAATACAAACTTTTGTTTATCAAATGTTAATTCTGCAAATGCATATGCTGAAGAAAAGCTAATTTCACTGAATAATATTGTGAGGACAGAGCTTAATCTGATATCATTTAATGGGGATGAAGTTTAATCCAATTGCTAGAAGATGAAGTTGCAGACAAAGAGAAACTGTTTTTCAAGTCCTTTGAGGTGAAGGCTTGGTAATTCAAGCATCAAACATACAATCTATCACAGCAAGCACTTCTGTCCTCTGACTATGAAAGATTGCTGGAACTCCAAAATTTCTCGACTGTGAGTAAGCAATTGATGGCTTTCAGGAAACTGCTATTTGATTTACAGAAGCTTACCCTCCTTACATATTTAACTAGTACTTTTACTTATTGCTAAAAAGTATTCCTTTTTAATCATGTGTTATATAGATAACCCCCAAGTTCTTTTAATTTCATACTTTGAGTTAGTAAACCATATTGCTATCATAACCTGAGCTTTTATCTACACAAATATTGAAGAAAAACTCTCTATTGACCTCACTGAGATTGGCTTAAATAAAACCACCACTATACAACAAAGTCTACTTTCAAACAGATTTCAGTGACTGCATTGAAGCTAATTATATTACAATAAGAGTTGTAGCAATAATAAGTGTTCTAGATAGCATAAAACCTGAAAGGAGCTTACTTCATCAAGCAAATATATGTCCATGTATGGAAGAAATTTAGTATCAGATTGACTCAGGCTGAAATTCTAAAGAAACTGGCTATCAGGTTGGAGGTGACTGGTCTATTAATTGTATACAGGTAGTCCTCCACTAACAAAAGTTCATTGAGTGACCAGTCAAAATTACAACGGCACTGAAGAAAGTGACCTATGATCATTTTTCACACTTATGACCACTGCAGACTCCTCATGGTCATGTGATCAAAATTCAAATGCTTGGCAATTGACTTATATTTATGACAGTATCCTGGGCTCATATGATCACTTTTTGTAACCTTCCGACAAGCAAAGTCAATGGGGAAACCAGATTCATTTAACAGCCATGTTACTAACTTAACAATTGCAATGATTCACTCAACAACTGTGGCAAGAAAGTTGTAAAATGGGGCAAAAGTCACTTAACATATGTCTCACTTAGCAACAAAAAATTTGGACTCAATTGTGGTTGTAAGTTAAGGACTACCGTAATTTTCTTTTTTTCTTATTAAATGAAATTAATTTCCTTTTCATTGAATAAATGAAAGGAAATAAGCTAAATTAGATCAATGATAGTCTAATGTTTTTATTGGTCTGATGGCACAGTAGATGCTTAAAGCATATTTGACATGAAACTTTCCCCATCCCACCTTTAGAAAAATCTAATCATGTTCCTAATATAAATTATGGTACACTTCTCTCTGTATTAGAACTCTACATCTATTCTTGAGATTTTCAATGATCTCTAGGATTCAGCCTTTGAGGCAATAAGATGTCAGTCTTGATCCTACATGACTGGTTTAATAAATGTAGGGGCATAATTAATAAATAATTAAATTAACAGTTCTTCAAAGTTCTATGCTGTTCCTTTGAGGAACAGAAGAAATCTGTAAATATTGATGGCATTTCATTAAATAAATACATAACAGTTGAATTTGCAAAAGATAAAATATTTTAATGATTAATTTTCCTTTGCCTTTTCCATCCCCAATTTTTCCAGCACTCCGTGAAATACTTCATGTAGGCATTGTCATGTTGTTGTTGTTGTTGTTGTTGTTTTTGTTAATTGCGAAGTTGTGTCCAACCCATCGCAACCCCATGGACAACGTTCCTCCAGGTCTTCCTGTCCTCTACCATCTTCTGGAGTCCATTTAAGTTCACACCTACTGCTTCAGTGACTCCATCCAGCCACCTCATTCTCTGTCGTCCCCTTCTTCTATTGCCCTCAATCTTTCCCAGCATTAGGCCCTTCTCCAGTGAGTCCTTCCTTCTCATTAGGTGGCCAAAGTACTTGAGTTTCAACTTCAGGATCTGGCCTTCTAAAGAGCAGTCGGGGTTGATCTCTTCTAGGACTGACTGGTTTGAACGCCTTGCAGTCCAAGGGACTCGCAGGAGTCTTCTCCAGCACCGTAGTTCAAAGGCCTCAATTCTTTGTTGCTCAGCCTTTCTTATGGTCCAACTTTCAAATCCATACATTGCAACTGGGAAAACCATGGCCTTGACTATACGCACTTTTGTTGGCAGGGTGATGTCTCTGCTTTTTAGTATGCTGTCTAGATTTGCCATAGCTTTCCTCCCCAGGAGCAAGTGTATTTTAATTTCTTGGCTGCAGTCCCCATAGAACTGATTGTAACAATATAATAGATTTTTTTTAAAAAAAATACACTCAAAACAACTTTAGCAAAAAGGTTTTTTTAAGTATTAAAAAAGTAGATATGCCTGAGGCAGACAAATGTATAAATAGGAGCATTGTGTTTATAGAACTATTGGTTATAAAACTATTTGCCTTGTACCTAATCATTATGTATGTATGTGTGTGTACGTATTGTATTTGGGTATGTATACATGTATAATATACATATACATACATACAAACATACATGCATATATACATATACATATACATACACACATATATATATAGTCTGTAGACTGCAGCTTTTTCACAAATAGGTTGATTTGTTAAATGGGTTCCTTGAGGCTATTTTACCAATCAATTTATTTCAGAAAAAGTTTGCATTGCTTCTATATTGATCTATCTCTTTGGGCTATAATAAAAATTTGAATTTGACTTTGCTCAGATAGAACATCCAACATCTTTTGCCTCAACCTTCTTTCTTTTGTATCAAAGTACTTGATAATTGTAATAAATTAAAAGTTGTCCTGGAGTGATAAAATAAATTTCATGTAATCTGCAAAAGAAAATATTTCTAAATCTGTTAATTATTAATTATATTGTTCATGGCTGAATATTAATAAACAAGGGCCTGATAAAGATTTTATCACCGACTAAAGCCATGTGAATAATATATTATTAGCCATGTAAAAAATATGGGAAATAGTTCAATAATATCAAAATAGCAAATGATTGCATATATAAATTGCTAAATTTGATAACTGACAATGCTAGGTTAAGCTGACAAATTATATACAATTTTATATGCCAGCTTCTTATGTAAAAAGATGTATGCATACTTTTTCATTCTTAAGAAGATTGCAAGTTGCTAATATTGTAACTAGGATTCCAATGTTCTATATTATAAGCTAGGTGTACCCGGCCACGCGTTGCTGTGGCTCAGTCTGGTTAAATGGAAACGAAAGAAAAGAGAAAGTGCACGTTTGTAATATGTTTAATTTCACAATGCTAGCGTGTGTTGCTTTTACGTCTAACAGATAGGGTTGCCAGGTGTCCACTATTTGAGTGGACAGTCCACTTTTTTCACATTATGTTCACTATTTTTTTTCACAAAATAGTGGACATTTTTTTTATTCAAAAGCTTTAGGATGAAATGGTACGTAATCTAAAGCTGTACAGTCTACTTTTTTTACTACTTAAACCCCCCCCCCCGCTTGTCTGCTATTTTTTGGAAGCAGACCTGGCAACCCTACCAACAGATGGTGCTGTTTTTCAAAAAAAGCATGTTTTACCTGTCACAGGTGTGATATCTATATAATAGTAGGTATATAAAAACACGTGCGTATTCAAATGCAACATTGTGTCAAAATTTCAAAGCAATCGGTGAAGAACTTTCAGAGATTTAAGATTTTGAACAAACGAACATTTACATTTTTATTTATATAGATGTAGGTAGGTAATATTATATAATTTGGGCTTTCTAATTTAGGGCAAAAAAGGAAGAGTAGTGTGATATATGAGAAATGCCTAAATTTCACATGGTATCCTTCCTTCCTTCCTTCTTTCTATCTGATCAGCAAGTTAGACAAGGAAAGACAAGGAAAGTCTTCACATGGCCTATAGTTAAAATACAGAATTTTCCATCACAAAATGTGGTAATATCCACCAATTTAAATACAGATTTAGGGAGGGCACAATTATCCTGATTAACTTGATAAATGTGAAGAATTTCATTCCAATAGAATTTTCCATTATATTAAGAATAAACCATATTTTGTTGTCCAGATATTAACAATGTTGTGTGCACTATGTTATATTTTCTGTCTGAAACCCTTGAGAAAGTTGAGGTTTTGACCATTCTAGTTCATATCTACTGAAAGTCAATTGCAATCTCCCAAGTGAAAGAGAAAGAGACAGAAACAGAGAAAGAAAGAGAAAGAGATTCCAGATGCTTTTATTTATCATTGGGAGTTCTTACTGTTGGGTATATCAAATATCATTTCTGCATTGTTTTAAAACTTTGTTTTAAAAGTTGCTGTATGTTCTTTTTTATGAGAAGGAATAATGTTCACTTTTCATACAGTATAATGGCTGGAATTATCTTGCCAAACTTGGAAGCCTCCATGTAGGCTGGATCTATAAGTTGTGAGGAAGACTGGGTTAAAGATAAAGAGACCACAGATCATTCACTATAACCTCTGTGTTTAGTCGTATTCCAATGTAAGAAAAAATGTTCTACACTCACCCCTTTCTTTCTTTATTACCAAATGTTTTAATTTATTTGGCAGAGCCTTATATAAAACTGGCTAATTTATTTGTTTACACCACAGACATTTATTTTTAATCCTTTTAAGAGTTGGCTGTATCTTGAATTCCTTGCAGCATAATCTTATAATAGCTATTGTCTGTAAAGATCTATGATAATATAAAATAATATTCTCTGTGTGGAAATTAATTCAACACAGACTCTATTGAAATTACTGCACAGTTAAGAAAGCTAAAGTGGCTGTTAGGACTTGTATGTCTCTGAAGTTGTGCTTTACTTAATTGAAACTTCACCACCTTTTTGAAATGATATCCAGTTACTTTTCATCAAG